GAACCGCGGCATATACGCTGTTATTTAATTTTTTATTCACACGTGGCGTCAAAGGTAATGGTTGACTGGAGTATATGCCGCGGTTCTGCTCCGAACCGCGGCATATGTGTTCGATTTATTTACAAAACTGCCACCGCGCACCATTATGCTGCGGTTTCCATTGAACCGTGGCATAATGTGCGCTGTAAAAACCCAATTTTTTACTAGTGTGATCATCATCCTCTGCTTGTGCTTGTGCTTGTGCTTGTCTCGGGACATAGCATTGAATTTTGATCGAACATTGGGAGGGAAAAAGGTAAACAGAGATTTTGGTTTTGTGTGATTTGATGTAAAATTAAAAGTGAGACGAACTACCTTCGCGGCTTAGCCTTAGTCATTTGTTTCTTTTGTCGAAAACCTTAGCCATTTATGCAACTTACATGCATGATGAACTCCTTTTAGTGTTGTTTTCTACCGACCCAATAAATAAAACAGATACGTAATAATAGCCTCTCGGATTCTGCTGGTGGCGCTGATCAACCATTGCATTTCATCATTAATTCAGAAAGTGACCCAAACTTCCTGCACTCAGTAGTATCACATACGTTAAACTTTAATGCCCAGAAAATCTGGTGCCATTAATTAACGTAATATGGAAACACTCTGTTTCGTTGTAAAAGCATTTTAATTTATATTTTGTGTTATTTTTCTGTGTCTTTAAAGTAGGGATGGCTTAAAGTATATTTATTTTGTTATATTAAAATAATTTTAACATATTTTAAAATATTAAAATTAATATATAAAATACATTTTCACAATATAGAACTAAATAAAAAATTGAACTGGGAGTGTTGGCCTTCAATCATCGTGTTACGAAAATACAGGGACATGATTGTGACACGATGTTGAAGAGTAGATTTTTTTTTCTTGAAGCTAATCATGTTACTTAGCATATTTAAGGATGAACAAGGATTCGGTGGAATATGTCTGTTTATAGTGGCTACCTGTTTGCTTTTAAGAGCACATTAAGTAGGTTATTCCAATTAGTATCAGTTTTATGACTTATTAGTTTTGATTGAACTGATTTAAATAGCTTTAAATTAAGGACAATCGTGTTCCCTCTGCTACTTTTTAATATATTATCAAATGTGTATACCAATGTATTAACCCAAAATTTCAATGTAGGTGTGAGAAAAAAAAATCTTTAAAACTTAAACATTATAAAAAGCATAAGCTCATAACATGGTTTTCAGAGAATAAAAAAATATAGTCATTTTACATTAAAAGGTGCGATGTATGATAAAAGAAATTGATTTTAAGTGTTTGGAAAATAAGCACACAGTCTCCGTTTTACGTAATGTAAAATATTCAAAATAATTGAAATACATATTTTAAGTAAATATCAATTACAAAATTTATACTTAACGTGAGAATTGTTCCTAATAATATAAAAAATACATAAATGGATATAGAAGATGGGTTTACTTTCATATAATTTTTAGTTTGCATACACGTATAATTTAAATTATTAAAATAATTTCAATATTTTTGTGTTGTAACTCGGATATTGATTATAAAATATAAAATGTGAGTTAAAATTTCAATGAAAAATCAACTTCTCGGTTTTAAGAAATTCAAACTTCGATTCCATAAAGTTTCGAACAAATGTGAATTCTTTCCCATGTTTTCAATTTCCTTGGATAAAAAAAACTTGTTTATATATATAGAAGGCAGACAAGATCAGAAGGGATGAAATAGTCTTGCTAAAACATTTTTACTTTCAACTTGGTTTGAGTGAAATTAAATTTTAATTATTGGAATAGGATTCTAAATTTAAGTCAAACTAAATAGTACAATTATTAAAATGAGATCCTATTAAAGATTATTATAAGTTAAACATATATAATATCAACAAATCTTGTTTTGGTTAAAAAAGAGGGCAAAAAAGACACACTAGAATATGAAAATTGGAAAGGAACACTGATTGGTGCATTAAATTTAACCAGTTTTTATTTCGTTGACCAAGTGTCCCATGGAAGATGGAACACTGCACAATATGTTCCTCATTTGTCAATGCAATTACTACAAATCTTTTTTGGGGGCATACTAGCAATAACTCAACAAATGACTACTGTAGTAGCCAGTTTGACTTAAGCTCTTAGAAAATGTTTTTCTAATTTTTACTTCAATGCAACACAGTTGTATTAATGTTTTATATTGTTAATAGACACATATAATAAATAATCTAAATCATAAAAATAAAGAATAAATTTTATACAAATATTGCCACTAAATGAAAAATTACTTTTTCAATTTTGTACTTTATAAATTGACGTTTTAAATATATTCATTTGGTTCAGCTAAAATCTGTCAAGTTTAAAAAAAAACGAGATTATCATAAACTTTATAACAAACTATTTTCCAATTTTGAATACAGACACATATTGAAGGAAAGATGTTATTGTCTCTCTATTTAAATACTAATAAAATTATTTAATTTCATAATAATTATGAAAAATAAATTTATAAATATTGATGATTTACAAAAATATATTATTTTTTTAGTAATATCTTGAATATTCTAACTCTAAAATATATAAATATTTTTTGGAATAATTAAATTTGATAAATATGAATATTGTTAAGCCTTTTGAAATTCTACATAATTTTCTAGAATTTGTTCTAAAACCAAAATAAACCATTTCAAAATTATTAACAAGTTTAAAATGTATAAAAGGACATGCATATTACAAAGATAGCATAAATTAATTTGACAATTCCAGCTACTATTCAAAAGAACAAAAATTTTAAAAGAAAATGATTTCAGCTATATATATGATTAGATCATGAAATATATGAGAAACATAGTAAAAAATTTAGGGAGAGTATGATGAAGTAGAAAGAATGATAAAGTTTTGAAATCGACCTTACATATGACATGCAAAGAATCTTTTTATGGGGGAAAATTAAAACCCTAATGAACCCTAAAATGGAGACTTCCATCTATCTTAAAATTTCCAACCCAATTATTTAATCCTGAATAAGTGGATTCTTAACCATTCCTTAATTTAGTTCAAATTTTCATATATACTATTTATATATGTGCTAACATTTTTCTCTCTACTGTCTTCTTTGAATAATGTATAATAAACTATAATTAAAAATTAATTGTTATAATAATCATTAAAATGAAAAATAAAAATAAAGTCATAAAAGAAAGTTACAAAATAAATAATTTTTATGAATTTGTTAATAATAGTTTCTTATGGATAATAAAATTAATAAAATAAAAAATTCTTTATCTTATATTCTAATGTTATATATATACACACACGTATATAACTATTTATTTTTGGAAGTTAGAAGCCATGTTATAATGAATGTTGTTGGAAGTAGAGAGAGGAAAACATATATTCTCTTTAATTAAACATTATTTGAAACCAAAACTAGAAATAATTAAACATGTACGTAGTTGTTTAATCTGCTTAATTTCGACACTCAGCGATAACGAACTAAGAGTATAACGGAACACAGCATGGCACGAGAATCTTATATAAGAGGAGCTCCCCCAGTCCTAGAATGCACCATCACCCACAACCCATTCAAAATCATGTCAACTTCCAGAACCATCTTCATCACCCTGATCCTCACGGTGGTGACAGTGTTCACGAGCACGAAGACAGCAGAAGGTGCTCGCACGTTCTTCGTGTTCGGAGACTCACTAGTTGACAGTGGCAACAACAATTACCTCCCAACCACCGCACGCGCCGACTCTCCTCCCTACGGCATCGACTACCCCACCCACCGCCCCACCGGTCGCTTCTCCAACGGCTTCAACCTCCCTGACCTAATCAGTACTATTCACATAACACATTCCACCATCTTCATGCATATTATTTATTCTGTGGAATTACTAATTCCCAACATTGTTACACACAGGCCAGCATATAGGATCCGAACCAACGTTACCATACTTGAGCCCTCAATTAACCGGACAGAGGCTCTTGATTGGGGCTAATTTCGCTTCCGCAGGGATAGGAATCCTTAACGACACCGGTTTTCAATTCGTAAATCCACCTCTCTTTTTCTCGGTCTATACATTCATGTAGTAGTTAATTGATCAACGCAGTTAAATTAACCCTAACCTAACCACGACATTTGCAATTAATTGAAGTCTTCACGTTGCATTCGAAATTAAGTATTATTGATTACATTAATTGTTAGTGTTTAGAAGCATAATTGAGAATTAATTGAGGTGCGTGAGACGGTGCAGGTGGGGATATTGAGAATGTTTCAGCAGTTTGCGCTGTTCCAGCAGTACCAGGGGCGGTTGAGTGCGGAGGTGGGGGCGGCGCAGGCGCAGCGCGTGGTGAATGGGGCGCTGGTGATGATGACGCTTGGCGGCAACGACTTTGTTAACAACTATTTTCTGACTCCTGTGTCAGCCAGGTCTCGCCAATTTACTATCCCTCAGTACTGCCGATACCTAATCTCTGAGTATCGAAAAATTCTTATGGTATACGAACTCTCCACTTTCTTCTTTCCTTTCTTTCACTTTCTTCCTGTCTGCTATATTCAGTTACTGTATTGATTGAACTGCACCAATTCATGTGATGGCGATAATAACTGCGTGAGTTTTGGGGGAAAGAAAGAAATACACAGAGTAAATTTTAAAATTTAGATGATAATCATATAGTATCCCTATAAATAAATATTATAGAGATAAGTTATGTGTATACAAGACCTTTTATCTGTGATGTTTTTTTTTACATTAAAATTCATAATTTCCAGAAATTATTAAATTTGTTTGGTTAATCATAAATATTATATATCTTTTGAAAATAAAAAAGTAACTTAGTGTTTTACCTATAAATTTTAATTATTTTAAAGAAACGAAAAGGGAAACAGAGATGACTGTGGAGCAGCGTGGAGAAAAAAGTTATCGTTTATAGAGATTTTCTTTCCCTTTAGTTTTCTTTACCTAGGGCTGCTTTCTCTCATTTTACAAAAATTAAACACGTCTTATAGGTTGTGAGTTTTGTGCCAGTTATGCTGTAGTGATAGTTTTATATTATTATTCTTTTTGTAAAATTTACATTTTTAATTATTGAATGAATTGGTTGAAGTATGCTCTAACAAGCATTTGTAGCTCGCAAGTAAAATCTTCATCCTCATGACCTAAAACATAGGAGTAATGCAAAGTTGTCAGGTTACAAATCCTCTCTATATACCTTTTCTTTTTCTCTGAACATTTTGGTAAAGAAATAGGATTAAATTTTAAATTAAGCCTATAAAACTTACTTCTTTTTCTATGAACATTTTGGTGAAGAAGTAAAATTAAATTTTAATTTAAGCCTATAAAACTTATTTATAAGACAAGGTTTGGACTGATTTATACCATATAAATTTATTTTATTTTTATTTAATATAAAATTTTCAATAAATTTGAAAACATATACATCTCCAGTCCAAAATTTAATAGATAAAACAATAAATTTAATAAATAACAAATTTTATTAAACAAATTCTAACATATGACTATGATATTATGTTAATAAATTTTAAGATTAAGTCGATCTTACAAAATCAACTTTGAAAATAAAATTTTCATCTATTTATATGTTACAAATTTGTTTTATTTATATTGTGATATCTAATAATTTTAAAAGGAAAAAATAATTAAGAAAAAGTAAAATATATATTTTTTAATTTAAATCGATTTGTTTTTGTACTTGTTTTTTTCACTTATAAAAAAATAGATGTACTGGTTTATTTTAAACTGTTAATGACTTGTTTTTGTTGTATAGAAAAAAAAANTGTCTTCTTTGAATAATGTATAATAAACTATAATTAAAAATTAATTGTTATAATAATCATTAAAATGAAAAATAAAAATAAAGTCATAAAAGAAAGTTACAAAATAAATAATTTTTATGAATTTGTTAATAATAGTTTCTTATGGATAATAAAATTAATAAAATAAAAAATTCTTTATCTTATATTCTAATGTTATATATATACACACACGTATATAACTATTTATTTTTGGAAGTTAGAAGCCATGTTATAATGAATGTTGTTGGAAGTAGAGAGAGGAAAACATATATTCTCTTTAATTAAACATTATTTGAAACCAAAACTAGAAATAATTAAACATGTACGTAGTTGTTTAATCTGCTTAATTTCGACACTCAGCGATAACGAACTAAGAGTATAACGGAACACAGCATGGCACGAGAATCTTATATAAGAGGAGCTCCCCCAGTCCTAGAATGCACCATCACCCACAACCCATTCAAAATCATGTCAACTTCCAGAACCATCTTCATCACCCTGATCCTCACGGTGGTGACAGTGTTCACGAGCACGAAGACAGCAGAAGGTGCTCGCACGTTCTTCGTGTTCGGAGACTCACTAGTTGACAGTGGCAACAACAATTACCTCCCAACCACCGCACGCGCCGACTCTCCTCCCTACGGCATCGACTACCCCACCCACCGCCCCACCGGTCGCTTCTCCAACGGCTTCAACCTCCCTGACCTAATCAGTACTATTCACATAACACATTCCACCATCTTCATGCATATTATTTATTCTGTGGAATTACTAATTCCCAACATTGTTACACACAGGCCAGCATATAGGATCCGAACCAACGTTACCATACTTGAGCCCTCAATTAACCGGACAGAGGCTCTTGATTGGGGCTAATTTCGCTTCCGCAGGGATAGGAATCCTTAACGACACCGGTTTTCAATTCGTAAATCCACCTCTCTTTTTCTCGGTCTATACATTCATGTAGTAGTTAATTGATCAAAGCAGTTAAATTAACCCTAACCTAACCACGACATTTGCAATTAATTGAAGTCTTCACGTTGCATTCGAAATTAAGTATTATTGATTACATTAATTGTTAGTGTTTAGAAGCATAATTGAGAATTAATTGAGGTGCGTGAGACGGTGCAGGTGGGGATATTGAGAATGTTTCAGCAGTTTGCGCTGTTCCAGCAGTACCAGGGGCGGTTGAGTGCGGAGGTGAGGGCGGCGCAGGCGCAGCGCGTGGTGAATGGGGCGCTGGTGATGATGACGCTTGGCGGCAACGACTTTGTTAACAACTATTTTCTGACTCCTGTGTCAGCCAGGTCTCGCCAATTTACTATCCCTCAGTACTGCCGATACCTAATCTCTGAGTATCGAAAAATTCTTATGGTATACGAACTCTCCACTTTCTTCTTTCCTTTCTTTCACTTTCTTCCTGTCTGCTATATTCAGTTACTGTATTGATTGAACTGCACCAATTCATGTGATGGCGATAATAACTGCGTGAGTTTTGGGGGAAAGAAAGAAATACACAGAGTAAATTTTAAAATTTAGATGATAATCATATAGTATCCCTATAAATAAATATTATAGAGATAAGTTATGTGTATACAAGACCTTTTATCTGTGATGTTTTTTTTTACATTAAAATTCATAATTTCCAGAAATTATTAAATTTGTTTGGTTAATCATAAATATTATATATCTTTTGAAAATAAAAAAGTAACTTAGTGTTTTACCTATAAATTTTAATTATTTTAAAGAAACGAAAAGGGAAACAGAGATGACTGTGGAGCAGCGTGGAGAAAAAAGTTATCGTTTATAGAGATTTTCTTTCCCTTTAGTTTTCTTTACCTAGGGCTGCTTTCTCTCATTTTACAAAAATTAAACACGTCTTATAGGTTGTGAGTTTTGTGCCAGTTATGCTGTAGTGATAGTTTTATATTATTATTCTTTTTGTAAAATTTACATTTTTAATTATTGAATGAATTGGTTGAAGTATGCTCTAACAAGCATTTGTAGCTCGCAAGTAAAATCTTCATCCTCATGACCTAAAACATAGGAGTAATGCAAAGTTGTCAGGTTACAAATCCTCTCTATATACCTTTTCTTTTTCTCTGAACATTTTGGTAAAGAAATAGGATTAAATTTTAAATTAAGCCTATAAAACTTACTTCTTTTTCTTTGAACATTTTGGTGAAGAAGTAAAATTAAATTTTAATTTAAGCCTATAAAACTTATTTATAAGACAAGGTTTGGACTGATTTATACCATATAAATTTATTTTATTTTTATTTAATATAAAATTTTCAATAAATTTGAAAACATATACATCTCCAGTCCAAAATTTAATAGATAAAACAATAAATTTAATAAATAACAAATTTTATTAAACAAATTCTAACATATGACTATGATATTATGTTAATAAATTTTAAGATTAAGTCGATCTTACAAAATCAACTTTGAAAATAAAATTTTCATCTATTTATATGTTACAAATTTGTTTTATTTATATTGTGATATCTAACAAAGGAAAAAATAATTAAGAAAAAGTAAAATATATATTTTTTAATTTAAATCGATTTGTTTTTGTACTTGTTTTTTTCACTTATAAAAAAATAGATGTACTGGTTTATTTTAAACTGTTAATGACTTGTTTTTGTTGTATAGAAAAAAAAA